TAAGATAGTTATATTACACCAAATAGAGCTTTAAGAGGCAAAACAAACTGAAAACCTTCTTTTTTGGAGAGAAATATACATTCTCAAAGGTTTTTTTTTTCGATTGTTGAAAGTTTTGTTGAAAAATTTATAACAGCTGTTATGAGCCATATTTAATTTTTTTTTTTTTGGAATTGGTTATCTTGCCTTAATAATAATAAGGCGCACAAAAGGAAAATTTTTGTGCAAGCTTATTTGTAAACCTTGTATTCTGGTCTGTTGTTTTTTTATGTCTTGTCAATAAATGTAAAATTCATTCAAGTTTTGTTTTGTTTTTTACATTTGCGCCTTAAGAATAACCAATATAAAAGAAGTGATGTCCTCTCTTCTCCTCCTCTCTTGCCCATGGAAAAAAATCCTTTTAACACATACATCCAAATAAAGAATACAGCCACTGCTCACTTAATAATTTACCAGTTTAATGACCCCTCCTACCGAACTTATGACTAAATACAAAATAGAAATTTAAATATTAACTAAACAGTTGGTATTGTACGAGGGTAAGTAAAATTTATCCACACTTTCCCCATAACATATGTTTAGGTTTGTCAGAAAGCGCTCTGTTCATATGTGCTTGTGGTTGGTACAATTGTGGTCACGTAATCAAAGTCTGAGCTTGATTGCACCAGTTTTCTTTCTGCTGTTACAGTGTAAACATGGCCGCACTGCTAGCAGTATGCAACACAGAGGAACAAAGACTTGCACTTTAGATTTGGTTTAGTTTGTTATGTTTTACGGTATATCAACCTCAATGGGTGATTTAAGGTCGACAAGATTTTTATTGCTGGTAATATTTTCGTCCAAAAATCTATTGCTGGTAATAATTTTTTTTACAAAAAAGTATTGCTGATACTGAAACCAATTCTTACACTTTCATAGTGTTTTGACCCGAGTTTAGGGGTTAACTATTTGCCCATAGCTGGTACCTTAAGAGGTGCAACCACCCTGGGTCAAGGTGTACCTGGGACCACCAGCAATTAAGAGGTGGTTCCATGCTCCTCCAAACATCCTGATCAGAGGCCTTGCTGTTGGACATAGTTTATCGTCTTACCCAGGACGCGGATGTAGTTTATTGTCATATCTAGGACAGGAAATCGATTTTGGCATTCTCATTTGGTTTATAATTTTTGGTTTGGTTTGTTTTACGGTTTATCAACCTCAATGGGTTATTTAATGTGAACAAAAATTTTATTGCTGGTAATAATTTTTTCCTTCAAAAATTTATTGCTAGAAATAATTTTTTTTTTGCAAAGTATTTCTGGTATTAAAACCTACTTTGACACTTTCATAGTGTTTTGACATCAGCTTGGGGTCTAACTATTTACCCATAGCTGGGACCCTAACAGGTGCTACCACCCCAGGTTTTGGTGGACCTGTCAATTTCGAAAACATCTATGGCATGCACATCATGCACTGATGCACAAAGGAACAAAGTAAAAGGTGATGTCTTTTGCATTGGAATTTCAATTTCCAGCAGGGAAATAAACTGCGAGAAAAAGAACTTGATCTTTGCCAGTCCCTGTCACGATATTTAAAAGCGGTGAGTGGAGGAAATGAAACAGATTTACTGAGCGACTCAAGAATGTGACGGTTATATGTCAGTCTATTTCAGGAAATAAACAGTGGGAAGAACGTACACTATTTACATTATTTGGACTATTGTCCTCATCTTTGTCGCCATATTTATTACAACGTTTCGGCTCTTTAGTATCTGTCTATATTTCTGAGATGAGGTATTATGTACACTATTTACATTATTTGGACTATTGTCCTCATCTTTGTCGCCATATTTATTACAACGTTTCGGCTCTTTAGTATCTGTCTATATTTCTGAGATGAGGTATTATGTACACTATTTACATTATTCGGACTATTGTCCTCATCTTTGTCGCCATATTTATTACAACGTTTCGGCTCTTTAGTATCTGTCTATATTTCTGAGATGAGGTATTATGTACACTATTTATATTATTCGGACTATTGTCCTCATCTTTTGTCGCCATATTTATTACAACGTTTCGCTCTTTAGTATCTGTCTATATTTCTGAGATGAGGTATTATGTACACTATTTACATTATTTGGACTATTGTCCTCATCTTTGTCGCCATATTTATTACAACGTTTCGGCTCTTTAGTATCTGTCTATATTTCTGAGATGAGGTATTATGTACACTATTTACATTATTCGGACTATTGTCCTCATCTTTGTCGCCATATTTATTACAAACGTTTTACGCTCTTTAGTATCTGTCTATATTTCTGAGATGAGGTATTATGTACACTATTTATATTATTCGGACTATTGTCCTCATCTTTGTCGCCATATTTATTACAACGTTTCGTTTGTATGCTCCGGCCTTCTTCAGGTGGTTAGAACCCTTTATTTCCCTCACTGTTCCAGTTCCATGTGCCATGTCTAACAGATATCACTTATTTCCTGTTAATTCCCCTCTCCAAGTTAACCTGCCTTAACCGGGTATTGAACTCACACTCTTTGGGTCCTGTCACTGGATCTAACTAATGCCTTTATCCACTGTGCCATGTGTCATACACATCTGTGTATGAATTACTGGGTATTTTAAACCTGATGTCTTCAGCAACCATTTTTTGCTGTTATCATTGCATGTTTTTACTCACACTCTTTGGGTCCTGTCACTGGATCTAACTAACACCTTTATCCAGTGACAGGACCCAAAGAGTGTGAGTTCAATAATTTTAAAGGAGAACTTGGAGATAACTGATAACTGATCCATCCATTAAAAAAAAAAAATCATGTCACGTGGAACTAGAACAGTCTACCCCAGTGAGCGAAAATAAAGGGTTCAGTTCGATATTTCAACCACCTGAAGAAGGCCGAGCGTCCAACATCTATAACGTTGTAATTCATATGACGATTTCTCTCTGAGGACAATAGTCCTAATAATGTAAATAGTGTACATAATATTCTTATTTATATCAGAAATATAGACAGATACTGAGAAGAACGTCTACACAAACATCATCGAACCAAATTTCAGAAACGCCAACATACAGATTGCCTAGTCTCTGTCCAGTTCGAAATTCAAACAAATATCACCTGAAGAAGGCCGGGGTGTACGATGGCCGAAACGTTGTGAATGTGTCAGGAAAGATGGTTGGATCCAGTGACTTGACCCAAAGAGTTGTGAGTTCAATACCTGGCTACTGCAGTGGTGAAAAAAAACAAAAAACAAAAAAAAAACTTGGTGAGAGTTGAGTAAAAGGGAGATAATTAAGACATCCGAAAGAAGCATGGCACGTGGAACTAGAACAATCTACTCCAGTGGACGAAATAAAGGGTTCAGTTCGAATTTTTCAATCACCTGAAGAAGGCCGGAGCGTACAGCAGCCGAAACGTTGTGAATATGGCAATAAAGTTGAGGACAACAGTCCGAACAATGTAAATAGAAAGAAAAAAAAAGAAAAAAAAAGAAAATAGAAGAAACATTATCAAGGAGCAAGAACAAAAGAAGAGTGATCCGGATGACAGTAGAGAGCGATTGACATTGCGTTAAATTCTTTTAAGATTAAAGTTGACTGGAAAGTATGGAGCCGGAAGAGAGTTCCACGAGCGAGAAGTGCGATAGAAGAAACTGTTAGCATAGAACCTGCGGTTACATCTAGCCAACAGCTTACATTTTATAGAAAAGACACTGGGAGGCAACATTAAAGAGGTGGGAAAGTGACTGAAGCCGCATCGAGACGCCAGGGTAGGTAGAAAAACAACAACAAAAGAAAAAGAAAAGAAAAATAAAACTAAAAAAAAAACAAAAGTAGTTTTTACCTTTCTTTTGGTATGGCCAGATTGCTACTGAGATATTCTATAAGAGATTTGGTAAATTTTGGAGTGGTAGACGCATTGAAGACATCAATTGCTCGGATCTCAAGAATGAGAGCAGGATCATAGGTGTCGTTGCGACAGAAGTTTAAATCACTCTGGATAATCATGTGCATCCTCTGGAAATGGAGAGAGTTTCTTTAAAAAAAAAAAAAGATTAAATTCTGTGACCACAACAAAATAATAATAGTTTTTTAACCCGTTGTCGTGTCCATAAAAAAAAAAAATAGTAATTAATTATACTATCGAATACTATTTACATTATTCGGACTAATGTCCTCATCTTTGTCAACATATTTATTACAACGTTTCGGCTGTTGTACGCTCTGTCCTTCTTCAGGTGGTTGGAATGTCGAACTGAACCTTTTATTTCGCTCACTGGGGTAGACTGTTCTAGTTCCACGTGCCATGTTTAATGGATGTCATCAGTTATCTCCTGTTAATTCCAATCTCCAAATTCTCCACTGCCTTAACCGGGTATTGAACTCGCCTTTATCCACTGTGCCATGTGTCCCCGAGGACATTTCTTATATATCAATGCTCTGTTAATATCAATCTTTCTATATGCTCACAGACTTGAGGCAACAGAGATGTGGTTCTACAGAAGGATGCTGAGAATAAATGGGAATATGTGAATAATAAAGAAATTTTAACGAAAAGCAGTACAAAAAGGAGGAGGCACAGGTAGCGGCTAGGATTGATGAATCAGAGAGCCGAGTTAGAATTGTAGTCGAATCCATTACATTCACTTACGTGCTAATACCCTTGGGAAAGATATGAATCCTCTTCTTCCCCCAGCTATGGGTAAATGGCAAGGCAGACCGGATTCTATGGCAACTGTTCTACCGCAGACAGAAAAGGCAACCCAATGCGGGAAAAATCTGCCTCGTCTGTCATGTATCGAAAGATACATGATCGCGTAGGCGTGTATCACGCATGGCACGTGACACTTACTAATTAACCTATAACTTGGAAAAGAAAGAGGTGAGTTCCTGCCTTTCCCAAGGATATTTGCGCGTAGTGAATATAAGGAACCTAACAAGAATAGGAACTAGGCTCTCCGAGTTTCGAGCCGTTAACCATTACAGCACCTGCCCATCCAAGCTTGCAGCAGCTGGTATTGCTCAAGTGGTCACCCATCTAGGCACTGACCAGGCTCGACGTTGCTTAACTTCGGTGATCGTATGGGAACTGACGTTTCAGCGTGATGTGACCGTAAGCAAGAAATGGAATACGAAACTGTGAAAAAATGGTCTGGAGCCACCCTCATAAGCAAATATCAAAAACCACTTTTAACATATTGAACATAAACTGATGTCCATTTGATAAATTTGATGTTTGATTTATTTTGTTTTTACGGCATATCAAGCTTTAGTTTGATTTGTTATTTAATGCCGAACAACAATTTTTTAGGATAGATTCATATGAATAGAATATGTATTTTTGGTTTAGATTGGTTTGGTTTATTTTGTTTTACGGCATATCAACCTCAATGGGTTATTTAATGCCGACAACATTTTTAGGATAGATTCATATGAATAGAATATGTATTCTTTGGTTTAGATTGGTTTGGTTTATTTTGTTTTACGGCATATCAACCTCAATGGGTTATTTAATGCCGACAACATTTTTAGGATAGATTCGTATGAATAGAATATGTATTCTTTGGTTTAGATTGGTTTGATTTATTTTGTTTTACGGCATATCAACCTCAATGGGTTATTTAATGCCGACAACATTTTTAGGATAGATTCGTATGAATAGAATATGTATTCTTTGGTTTAGATTGGTTTGATTTATTTTGTTTTTACGGCATATCAACCTCAATGGGTTATTTAATGCCGACAACATTTTTAGGATAGATTCGTATGAATAGAATATGTATTCTTTGGTTTAGATTGGTTTGGTTTATTTTGTTTTACGGTATATCAACCTCAATGGGTTATTTAATGCTGACAAGATTTTTTTAGGATAGATTCGTATGAATAGAATATGTATTCTTTGGTTTAGATTGGTTTGATTTATTTTGTTTTACGGCATATCAACCTCAATGGGTTATTTAATGCCGACAACATTTTTAGGATAGATTCGTATGAATAGAATATGTATTCTTTGGTTTAGATTGGTTTGATTTATTTTTGTTTTTTTGGCATATCAACCTCAATGGGTTATTTAATGCCGACAACATTTTTTTAGGATAGATTCGTATGAATAGAATATGTATTCTTTGGTTTAGATTGGTTTGGTTTATTTTGTTTTTACGGCATATCAACCTCAATGGGTTATTTAATGCCAACAACATTTTTAGAATAGATTCGTATGAATAGAGTATGTATTCTTTGTTTTAGATTGGTTTGAATTATTTTTTTAAGACATATCAACCTCAATGGATTATTTAATGCCGCCACTATTTTTAGAATAGATTCGTATGAATAGAGTATGTATTCATTGGTTTAGATTGGTTTGATTTATTTTTTTAAAGACATATCAACTTCAATGGGTTATTTAATGCCGCCAAAATTTTTAGGATAGATTCGTATGAATAGAATATGTATTCTTTGGTTTAGATTGGTTTGTTTTATTTTGTTTTACGGCATATGAACCTCAATGGGTTATTTAATGCCGACAACATTTTTAGGATAGATTCGTATGAATAGAATATGTATTCTTTGGTTTAGATTGGTTTGTTTTTTTTTGTTTTACGGCATATGAACCTCAATGGGTTATTTAATGACGACAACATTGTTAGGATAGATTCGTATGAATAGAATATGTATTCTTTGGTTTAGATTGGTTTGATTTATTTTGTTTTACGGCATATCAACCTCAATGGGTTATTTAATGCCGACAACATTTTTAGGATAGATTCGTATGAATAGAATATGTATTCTTTGGTTTAGATTGGTTTGATTTATTTTGTTTTACGGCATATCAACCTCAATGGGTTATTTAATGCCGACAACATTTTTAGGATAGATTCGTATGAATAGAATATGTATTCTTTGGTTTAGATTGGTTTGATTTATTTTGTTTTACGGCATATCAACCTCAATGGGTTATTTAATGCCGACAACATTTTTAGGATAGATTCGTATGAATAGAATATGTATTCTTTGGTTTAGATTGGTTTGATTTATTTTGTTTTTTACGGCATATCAACCTCAATGGGTTATTTAATGCCGACAACATTTTAGGATAGATTCGTATGAATATGTATTCTAATATGTATTCTTTGGTTTTTAGATTGGTTTGATTTATTTTTGTTTTTTTGTTTTACGGCATATCAACCTCAATGGGTTATTTAATGCCGACAACATTTTTTTATAGATTCGTATGAATAGAATATGTATTCTTTGGTTTAGATTGGTTTGATTTATTTTGTTTTACGGCATATCAACCTCAATGGGTTATTTAATGCCGACAACATTTTTTAGGATAGATTCGTATGAATAGAATATGTATTCTTTGGTTTAGATTGGTTTGATTTATTTTGTTTTACGGCATATCAACCTCAATGGGTTATTTAATGCCGACAACATTTTTAGGATAGATTCGTATGAATAGAATATGTATTCTTTGGTTTAGATTGGTTTGATTTATTTTGTTTTACGGCATATCAACCTCAATGGGTTATTTAATGCCGACAACATTTTTAGGATAGATTCGTATGAATAGAATATGTATTCTTTGGTTTAGATTGGTTTGGTTTATTTTGTTTTACGGCATATCAACCTCAATGGGTTATTTAATGCCGACAACATTTTTAGGATAGATTCGTATGAATAGAATATGTATTCTTTGGTTTAGATTGGTTTGATTTATTTTGTTTTACGGCATATCAACCTCAATGGGTTATTTAATGCCGACAACATTTTTAGGATATGTTCGTGTGGATAGAATATGTATTCTTTGGTTTAGATTGGTTTGATTTATTTTGTTTTACGGCATATCAACCTCAATGAGTTATTTAATGCCGACAACATTTTTAGGATAGATTCGTATGAAAAGAATATGTATTCTTTAGTTTAGATTGGTTTGGTTTATTTTGTTTTACGGCATATCAGCCTCAATGGGTTATTTAATGCCGACAACATTTTTTAGATAGATTCGTATGAATAGAATATGTATTCTTTGGTTTAGATTGGTTTGATTTATTTTGTTTTACGGCATATCAACCTCAATGGGTTATTTAATGCCGACAACATTTTTAGGATAGATTCGTATGAATAGAATATGTATTCTTTGGTTTAGATTGGTTTGGTTTATTTTGTTTTACGGCATATCTCAACCTCAATGGGTTATTTAATGCCGACAACATTTTTAGGATAGATTCGTATTTTTATGTATTCTTTGGTTTAGATTGGTTTGATTTATTTTGTTTTTACGGCATATCAACCTCAATGGGTTATTTAATGCCGACAACATTTTTAGGATAGATTCGTATGAATAGAATATGTATTCTTTGGTTTAGATTGGTTTGATTTATTTTGTTTTACGGCATATCAACCTCAATGGGTTATTTAATGCCGACAACATTTTTAGGATAGATTCGTATGAATAGAATATGTATTCTTTGGTTTAGATTGGTTTGATTTATTTTGTTTTACGGCATATCAACCTCAATGGGTTATTTAATGCCGACAACATTTTTAGGATAGATTCGTATGAATAGAATATGTATTCTTTGGTTTTAGATTGGTTTGATTTATTTTGTTTTACGGCATATCAACCTCAATGGGTTATTTAATGCCGACAACATTTTTAGGATAGATTCGTATGAATAGAATATGTATTCTTTGGTTTAGATTGGTTTGATTTATTTTGTTTTTTTTTATATATCAACCTCAATGGGTTATTTAATGCCGACAACATTTTTAGATAGATTCGTATGAATAGAATATGTATTCTTTGGTTTAGATTGGTTTGATTTATTTTGTTTTACGGCATATCAACCTCAATGGGTTATTTAATGCCGACAACATTTTTTTAGGATAGATTCGTATGAATAGAATATGTATTCTTTGGTTTAGATTGGTTTGATTTATTTTGTTTTTTTACGGCATATCAACCTCAATGGGTTATTTAATGCCGACAACATTTTTTTAGGATAGATTCGTATGAATAGAATATGTATTCTTTGGTTTAGATTGGTTTGATTTATTTTGTTTTACGGCATATCAACCTCAATGGGTTATTTAATGCCGACAACATTTTTTTTAGGATAGATTCGTATGAATAGAATATGTATTCTTTGGTTTAGATTGGTTTGATTTATTTTGTTTTACGGCATATCAACCTCAATGGGTTATTTAATGCCGACAACATTTTTAGGATAGATTCGTATGAATAGAATATGTATTCTTTGGTTTAGATTGGTTTGATTTATTTTGTTTTTACGGCATATCAACCTCAATGGGTTATTTAATGCCGACAACATTTTTAGGATAGATTCGTATGAATAGAATATGTATTCTTTGGTTTAGATTGGTTTGATTTATTTTGTTTTACGGCATATCAACCTCAATGGGTTATTTAATGCCGACAACATTTTTTAGGATAGATTCGTATGAATAGAATATGTATTCTTTGGTTTAGATTGGTTTGATTTATTTTGTTTTACGGCATATCAACCTCAATGGGTTATTTAATGCCGACAACATTTTTAGGATAGATTCGTATGAATAGAATATGTATTCTTTGGTTTAGATTGGTTTGATTTATTTTGTTTTACGGCATATCAACCTCAATGGGTTATTTAATGCCGACAACATTTTTAGGATAGATTCGTATGAATAGAATATGTATTCTTTGGTTTAGATTGGTTTGATTTATTTTTTGTTTTACGGCATATCAACCTCAATGGGTTATTTAATGCCGACAACATTTTTAGGATAGATTCGTATGAATAGAATATGTATTCTTTGGTTTAGATTGGTTTGATTTATTTTGTTTTTACGGCATATCAACCTCAATGGGTTATTTAATGCCGACAACATTTTTTAGATAGATTCGTATGAATAGAATATGTATTCTTTGGTTTAGATTGGTTTGATTTATTTTGTTTTTACGGCATATCAACCTCAATGGGTTATTTAATGCCGACAACATTTTTAGGATAGATTCGTATGAATAGAATATGTATTCTTTGGTTTAGATTGGTTTGATTTATTTTGTTTTACGGCATATCAACCTCAATGGGTTATTTAATGCCGACAACAT